TAAAAAAATCGATGGTGACAGACGTTTAGAAAAAGAGCAATCTTCATCCATGGACTCGGGTGTTCAAACACGTAGTCAACAAAAACCATCAACAACATTATTAGATTGTTTTAAGCACTTCACAAAAAGAGAAGTCTTATCTGATGATGATCTATGGAAATGTCCAAAATGTGCTATGTTAAAAAAAGCTACGAAAAAAATTGATCTATGGCTTTTACCAAAAATTTTAATTGTACAATTAAAACGGTTCAATTATACTCGTTATTATCGCGATAAAATTGATTTACGCATAGATTGTCCCATTAATTTAGATTTATCTCAATATGTTCTAAATCCAGCCGAGAAAGCAAAAGGAAAATATAGCCTGATCGCTGTTAGTAATCATATGGGAGGTCTAGGTGGTGGACATTATACAGCATATGCAAAAAATTCTCATGACAAAAAATGGCATATTTTTGATGACTCATATGTATCAGAAGCAAATGAAACTGACGTTGTTGGTAAAGCAGCTTATGTTCTTATTTATCAACAACAATAATACGAAAGTGAACGCAAGAAGAAATGAAATATTGATCAATAATCTTCGTTATTTTTCTCTATGAAACTCTTAATCTTTTACATTTCTTTCCGATACTATTTTTTCTATAATTGACCAATGTGAAAGGAATTTCTTCGTATATTTTGCCGTTTTTTTCCTAGAAATTTCATTTTTTTTCGAAACATTTAATCTTGAACAAAAACATGACAAATTCTTTTTTTTCTAATTTTATGTTTTTGTTATAGGTTATTCAATAGTAATGATCCCATAGCACGAACACTTGATAGTCGTTTGAGAAATAGTTCATTTTCAAATATTGGCACAACTTGCATGAAAGATGCACCGTTAGCATCAGATAAAGAACCATATAAATGTAGTGACGGCGAAAAGAGTTTTTATGTACCACCGGATTCAACGGATTATAATAAATATGCAAGATGTTCCGAATGTTATTCAAAGGCATTACAAGTAATTAGTTCATGTTCATTTAATTTCTACTATTAATTTGTAAATACTATTTAGATTTGTCCGAGTGATTCATTTGGACGACCACCAACACGAAAAACAAAATCTGGTGTTGTGGTTTGTATTCAAGTTTGTTTTGAATTTCTTGTTAATTTGATTTTATTCTAGCTGTATGATTTGGATGATTTTCCATTGAATGAATATTTACTTAAAAGCCATCATGATTTTTCAGATAATCGGTATGATTTCTTTATTTTGTTGTTAAACTTCTTGTTATATCCAATATCGAACGATTGATTCTTATTTAGTTATGGTGGTATAACATTTGGTGATCAAATCGAAGATGATTATGACAATCGAAGCCATGCATTGATTTGGTTTAATAATAAAGGTATTATCATTTGATAGAAAAATATTTTATTTTATGGCTTTTTTCCCCTCCAGGTTATCATGCCTTACCATCTTATTTGAATGTAATGAATAATTTAATTCTTCGTTCAAAAATATCTGATCCAGTCATAGCCGGAAAATTTGGTATTTCAACATACAGTCATCCATTTACATTGAATAGTGATTTGTTATCTCAACAATCTCTTGAACAACGTATATCAGATTTTGGTGTTGCCATTACTGTTTTATGTGCATATTCATTTGTGCCTGCAGCGGTTATTTTATATCTTGTGCGAGAATATGTAACGCAAGAAAAACGTTTAATATTTATTTCTGGTGTAAAACCATTAAGTAAATAATTTTATTTTTGAAGTATTCATTGAAAATTTATCCGAATTTTCTTTTGCAGTTTATTGGTTATCAACATTTATTTGGGATTTAACTTATTATTTAATTTTAATTAGTTTAACTATGGCTTTGATTAAAATATTTAATATATCAGCATTTAATTCACGTGCTACAACAACTCAAGCAATATTCTGTTTGCTATTTCTTTATGGTTGGTCATCAATACCATTGGTTTATTGTCTTGTTCGAGTTTTTAAAGATACAAGCACAGCATTTATGGCTTCATTTTGTCTATGGATGTTTACGGGCATGTTGACATGTATAGCTGATTTAATGTTAACATTATATTCATGGGTACCTGGTATAGTACGTGCTCAATCCATTCTATCACGATGTTTTCTTATATTTCCACCGTATTGTCTTGGTTCTGGACTTGTCCATTTAATGCGTAATGAATTAATGGCAGATTTTGGTCGAACAATCGATGCTAATCTTTATGTAGATCCATTTTCAATGAAACTTGTTGGTGATCGCATTGTAGCAATGATTGTAGTTGGATTTTTGGGTTTAATCATTACCTATGTACTTGATTTAGATATTCGACTTCCAACTATATTTTATAAAGTAAAAAAACAGAAGTTATTTGAACATAAAAATGATTCTTGTTTGTTTGTTTGTTTTAGATTCCAGCACCAGAAACAACTATTGATGGAGATGTCATGGAAGAACGTCATAGAATTTTAAATGGAACTGATAAAAATCTTGATATATTACAAGCAAAAAGTTTAACAAAAGTTTTTCGACGTGCAACTGGTCAATCATTATTAGCTGTTGATCATCTATGTTTTGGTATATCGAAAGGACAATGTTTTGGTTTACTTGGAATTAATGGAGCGGTATGATGAAATTGTTTTCTTTTTTTTTGTCTAGGATATGTCAAAACATTTTCTTGTATTTTTCAATAGGGTAAAACGACTACGTTTAAAATGATTACTGGTAATGTCATTGAATAGAAACGTTTTCTTTATCATAATTTTATATTGATTTAGGTGATGTTTATCCAACGAGTGGTGACTGCTTTTTATATGAAAAACAAATACGTAATCAAGCTCGTGCACATCCAGGCTCAATTGGTTATTGTCCACAATTTGATGCTGTCGATGGCTACTTAACTAGTCGCGAAGCACTCATGTGTTATGCGAAACTTATTGGTATTGTAGATCGTGAACATATTGTGAATTCGACATTAAAAAAATTTCATATGGAATCATTTGCTAATCGAATCATACGAACTTATAGTGGAGGAATGAGAAGGTAACATAAAAATTGACAAATTAGTTCTAAGCTAAATCGTAAAAAAAATTAATTCTTCTAGAAAATTATCCGTAGCTGTTGCTATGTTAGGACAACCAGATCTAATATTATTGGTAAGTTGACTTGACTCATTATTTGTTTTTGGTATGAAATGAAATCTATTCACTTGAATTTTAGGATGAACCAACCAATGGAATGGGTACGAAAACAATTTTTGAAGAAAGTGCCCATTAATAAATTTGTTTTTGTTTAGATCCTGGAAATCGTCGTATCGTTTGGAATAATATAATTAATGCTAAAAAACAAGATAAAGCTATTTTATTAACATCTCATTCAATGGCTGAATGTGATGTTTTATGTTCACGTTTAGCAATTATGGTTAATGGACAATTTAAATGTCTTGGCACGCCACAACATTTAAAACATCGTTTCGGCACTGGTTATTATTTAAAATTACGTCTCGAAGATGAATCATCGATACAAATAGCGTCAAATATTGTTCAACAATATCTTCCAGATTCAAATATGACGGTTTGAAAATATACAATATTCTTTTGAATGATGATGATGATTTTCTTTTCTGTTTTGTAGGAACGACATGGTACCAGATTAGAATATAATATTCCTAAATCATATACATTATCGAAAATATTTGGTTTTATTGAAACAAACAAAAATCTTATGAATGTTATTGATTATTCTCTATCTCAAACAACACTTGAACATGTATGCAATTTTAATCCTACAGATCTGTACAATAACAATTTTCTTTTATAGGTTTTTCTTCGTTTTGCAAGCAAACAACGAGATAATTCAATTGTTAGCCTCGAAGATGTTCTTGTGGACGATACAGCATCGATATCATCGTCAACAGTACAGTCATTTGTTCAAACGACTGACAAAGCAAATAATACATTTTCACGTCGTTCACCATCATTTACACCCATGCAAAATGATAATGCATCTCAAACAGCAGCTGATCTACGAGAACTACCTGCCATTGACAGTTGTACAGATCTTGTACTTAATGTAGATCGTCCACCGTCATCAACATCCAATACATCATCTCAACAGGATGATCATGTCTTTCGAATATAAAGAAAACAAAAACGATGACGAATATAAAATTCTTTTGTTTTTATTTTGTTTGACAATTTTAATTTAAAACTATATGTAAACATTTTAATAAAAGGAAGAAAAGTTTATTGATTATCTTGTTTCACATTTTGATCGATCGCCTTCAGTAAGATTATTAACTGCGAATGTCGGTGGTTCCATATTTGCAAAGATAGCATCTAACATATCTTTATTGGTACCATTCATGATAGGCATTGTATTGCCTTCACCGAAATTTTCGTTTTCTATTTCACAAAACAAAAATAAATAGAGATTACTTTTTTTTTCATTGTGCAAAATGTGTTTACAAACCTTCTTTATCCATGATTGAATGTATTAGGCTTTACGTGTGCAACGCAAATGTACAAGCAAGTAATATCATATTTCTGTTATGCTTGAGTGAACATGCTATCTCTGGAAAACAAAACGAACAAGTTTGTGTTTTTTTCTCTTAATGGCGCAAACGTTAACTCACACATGTTTAGTGTAAATTCGAAAATTTTCATCGATAAAACTCATGTTGATCTTTTTAGCAATTGATAGAGAATTTATTCAAGTTTTACCATTTTACAAGATAATTTATTGTATCTTGTTGGTATGAATGCAGTGTTTACAGCTTTTTTTTCACATCTTCTATACTATTTATCACAGTCGTAATCTTAGGATGTGTTGAAGAAAGTGACTTTTTCAAAATAGAAAGTGCTTTTTCTAGACAGGACAGCGCCTTTGCATATTCACCAATTCCATAAAACATTGTACCGATGTTGTGATAGGAATTAGCCAAATCCGGATGATTCGGAGGTAGAGATTTTTTTGTTATTTCGAGATCTTTTTCGTAAAATTCCAATGCTTTCGTATAGTCACCCATGTTGCTGTACACCGAACCAATGTTACTGTAGGAAGTAGCCAAATCCGGATGATTCGAAGGTAGAGATTTTTTTGTAATTTTGAGATCATTTTCGTAAAATTCCAGTGCTTTTGTATAGTCACCCATGCTGCTGTACACCGAGCCGATATTGCTGTAGGTAGTAGCCAAATCGGGATCATTTGGAGACAAGCATTTTTCTTTGATTTTGCATGATTTTTCATAAAACTCAAGTGCTTTCGAGTGGTCACCCATTTCTTGATAAGCAAGAGCGATGTTGTTATAGGTATTAGCTAATGAAATATCATCTTCCGAAAGAGTTTTTCGCATGATTTCAAGTGATTTTTTGTAGAATGTAGCTGCTTCTTGATAGTTACATTGCTGATATGTCAACATTCCAAGCATGTGATAGATATTGCCTTTATCACTGTCGGTCGATGCGTTTTTCAGTAGTTCATTGTAGAGTTCTTCAGCTTGCTTGAAATGACCTACTTTGAGCATCAATTTACCCATTCGATACCATCCACTAGAACCTTGAACCTCCTCTTTAATGCAATCGGTAAGCGCAGCTAGTTGTGGATCACTATCGCCCGTAATATCCAATTGTACTTCCCAAAGACGACTATTCTTGTCCGTCCGTGTAATTTCACGCACACGAAACACGGTATGCATTGTAAATAGAATTTCTTGTTCTGATGGAATAGCACTGTACGCATCAATCATTGCAAATGGAGTGGTCTTTGCTGATATTTTACTTTGATCGATAGTCATGATAAAAATAATGCCGACAGTTTCATCACTATTATACATAGCACGTTGAACAAAGTCCATGGCCACGCTTCGCTCCTTACTAGTTGACAAGAAGTTATGGAATGAGAGGAGTCCACCCTTCGTATCGATAAGATGTTGAAAGCCTTCCTGTGTCATACCTTGACCACGATAAACAACAAATTTCTTTTCATATGTACTTAATTGTTCTTGGTGTACTTGTTCGAGTTGTTGATGTAGTTTTCGGATGAAAAATCCCATTTTCACCATGCACTCCATATCCAATGACCGTAGGGCTTTGTTTAACATACTGTATATAAAAATTTCTTCTGTATACCACCATATTGCAGATTTCTCGTGGTATTTATCCTGAAAATAATTGAGTTGATATTGAGAAACACCTTGCTCACGGCAATAGGTCACTAAATTGTTCAGAGGTTTTGTATCCTCTTCATGAATTTCCAACATAATATCTTTGAATAACATCGAGTACATATATGATGGTTCCAATTGGTCAAGATTTTGTTGTTGTGACACACTGCTTGTTGCTATCGTTTGCTTCGGCACAAAGCTCATCGGAATGCTATCATGATCACAATGGCGGGCGACCTTTTTTAAAGATTCGCAAATCGGTTCGATTGAAGGGAAAACGCCTCGAATCTTTGTCCATTCTTTCGTCAATTGTTCATGATTTGCCTTGTCACCGAAGATGTATATTGCATCGACTGTTGGCTTATCATGGATGTCAGGCACGAGGTGCTGACATAGTGCTTCCGATGAAATGATAAAAACTTTTCCATCATTGATTTCATTGAGAAATTCAACACACTGTGCTGGTGTTGTACAAAGTTTCACCTCATTTACCACTGTGCGTAATTGTTCCAGTGCATTTTGGTAGCCACTATTATTTAAATTGATGTTGCTATCGACCCAAATGATCAGATAATTTTGAGCCATGCGACGTCTTGGTCGCATGTCATTTGATGTTGCTGTTTTACTTGCAGCACCAACAACTGTTGATTTGACTTTTTTTTCGCTCATACCGAGTAAATATTTTAGCTTGATCAAAGTCGAGAATTGTGCATGAGTGTTTCTTTTCTTGCACCTTTCTTTTTGTGGCATAGAATTGCATAGACGTTTGATTTTTTTTGTTGACAGTGACTGAGAAGCCTCATCTAGTTTCATAATTACAAATACAACCCCGCCAGTAAACAAAAGCATCCACTCAAGTGGAATTGCACTGGATACGTCATTTGTCGCATGATGTTTTTTTTCTCTTTCTTGTAAGAAATTGAAATTGGCGAAGCCAAAAAAAAGATTAAGTTTTCAAGAATATATAATATGCTTTTCATCATTGACTTTTATGGTTAGTCTCACTGTCAAAGGTTTGTATCGTATTTTATTATTACTGTAGTATTAATAAGAGAATAAATTTTGCATCATGTTGGCTAAAAATCTATAATGAGAATAAATTACTTTATTTTCATTCTACAAAAGAGAAAAAAACAAAGTTAAATGTGAAACAATTAAGATGAAAGATGAATATCTCTCTCTCTGTCTGTAACTGTGTGCTAACGAGCGACATGCATGACTGAATTGTACAATCTGATCATGATAAATTTCTTCTTTTTTCCTTATGATGTCGCGGATGTCTCAGTTAGTTTTGTATATGTAAAAAAATAACACAACATTATTATTTATTCGCATAGCATACTACGACAATGTCTTGTTCTATTTACTTTCTTTTGCTTTCATTACTTGTTTTTACTGAATCATTGAGTGGAATTATTAACCGTCGTGAGTACAATTTTACAATCTCCTATGCTGGAAATTCAACATCTGTGTTACTGATTAATAATCGATTTCCAGGACCAACGATTAGAGCTAGTATTAACGACATAGTAATCGTTCATATTCATAATGCTCTTCAAACAATGGAAGAAGTTACTATTCACTTTCATGGGATTCTTCAACGACAAACACCACAAATGGATGGTGTCGGATTTGTAACACAAATGCCAATTCCAAACGGACGAACATTCACATATGTTTTCCAGGCATATCCCACTGGTACTCATATGTATCATTCACATGCAGGGTTACAAGCTGTTACAGCAGTTGGTGCATTAATTGTTGATGACCGATCAAGACCATGGCAAGCAACAGAAATACCATCAGGTCCAATTATGTTTTGTGATCACTGGGAAGGAGTTGATCGTCTTGCACAAGAAACAGGCTTACTTCAATCACCATTTAAATGGGAAGGAGAACCATCCAATTTGTATATGAATGGCCAACGAAATTTCGTATTGACTCTAGATCCCGATCAAACCTATTTACTACGATTGATTGGTGCAACAAGTTTGTCTACTATTGTATTCGGCATAAATCAACATCCAATGACGGTAGTCGAAGTAGATGGAAAACTGGTAGTACCAAAACCTAATATGACATCGATCGAAATTGCTTCTGGACAACGATATGCTGTGCTGATCAAGACAAAAAGACAACATATCGGCGTTTTTGCTATGCAAGCATCGATTCGATGGCGAATAGCAGCAGCCAATGCCAGGTTCATATACAATCACCTCTTTATATAAATAACTTACTTTCGTTCTAGTTCGATTGGAATCTTACGATATGGTTTACAGTCCTCAATTTCTTCTAATATGTCTTCATTGGAACTTCCACCATTACTTAATGAGACCGAACTATTCTTATTTGCCTTTAATGAACGGTATCAAACATTACTTGAATCAGAAAGAATGCCACAAGGTCGCCAAGGTCGTGCGGATAATGAAATTATTTTACGCACTAGTCAAGAATATACAGCTGATGGACAAGGTATTCGTTGGCTAACAAATAATGCAACACTTGATATGCTTCGTTTAAAAAATCTGACTATACCTCTTCTTATGGATTTGTATAATGGTAATGAACAAAACCTTCCCCTTGACGTTGTCTATACGCTAGAACATAATCAATTAGTTGATATTGTTATTCAAAATACTGTTGCGCTCAATGGCGTCTGTGAATCACATCCTATGCATATGCATGGACATCAATTTTGGATACATTCTTATGGAACTGGTATGTATGATTCAGTTAAACATATAGCGCCTAATAGACACGATCCAGTATTGCGGGATTCAATAATGGTTTACGCAAGTTCTTATGCTTATTACTCACCGAATCGAAATATTTCAAACCATCGTAAGCCATGCGGATGGACGAAAATACGTATGATTGCTAACAATCCGGGTTTGTGGATGTTTCATTGTCATATTGGTGCACATTCATTTATGGGCATGAATGTTCTCTTCAAAGAAGACATCAAACATTTATCAATGATTTATTTTGAGCAAAATTAAATCATTAGAACTTATCACCTAATGAACTTAATATTCTTACATTGTATACCTTTTTCCGCTTGTAATTAAGAAAAATAAAAAGAGGCTTAAAAGTAAAATATAGATTCTGGTCCTGATTGTAGACGATCATAAAAGAAAAGATAATTCAAAACTTTGGAAAAAAATGAATCAGTTCGGTAGAATTTGAAAGGAAATCATTATTCTGATTCGAGAATTGTATAATAATAGGATTCAACAATTCATCAACGAATGATCGTTCAATAAAACTCGATTATTTTGTCGGTACTCTTAATTTTCAATGTTTATATCACTAGTCGACGATCTTGACTTCGATCTATCCAGATTCTTGTTTTCTCACAATTTTTGCCATTTAGGCATTCATATATATATATATATATCGAGACAAATTCTATCAAAAGGTTAGACGACCATTTGATATTTGAAATAAATAATCGTATATGTGAAAAACAAAAACAAATTAAATGAAGAAATTCACTTGATTATAATTCTTAACGTTATGATAGCGTAAGAATTACTTTCACGCATAGGACGTTTAGCTGATGATGGTGGTGGAAGTTCAGAAGATAGCTGTTATGGGAGTAATGATTTATCTCGATCAAATTCAAGTGCACACGCTGTTGCACGTCCTCTTCTTACAGCACAACATCGATCATCAAATTTAAGTTCAACAAGTATTGATTATGCTGTACCAACACAACGACATCAATCGATTACTAATGTTGTTGATGACAATAATATTCAACAGCAATGACATCATCATTATCAAATCATTATAATTTAAAAAAGACGGTACAAGCATTTACAAGAAGACCAGTAGCAGATTTACAACCAACCTATTTGACATTAGTGTACTGCAGCCGGGTCGGGTAACCGGCACCCGACCCGACCCGGTACCTGGGTCCGGGTGAAAAGCTCCGGGTCGGGCCGGGTGCCGGTTCTGGAAAAAAAAGTC